CCTTGCCACCTACCCAGCTTTCAGGCATACTTAAAAACTTGCAGTTCTGCCCTTATGTCAGATCTCAGGCTTCCACACCTTTACGCATACGCTGTGTCCCTTTTAAGAATGCCCCCACTTTACTCTCCATCTGAGTAGGCTTTATATTGATCCTTGAGATTCAGTTAAACCATCATCTCTTTTCGACACTTTTTAAACTATTGTTCTAACATTCCATGTGTTCCCATACTCCCTTGGATGTATTTACTATTGTAATTGTTGAGATTTATTTACCTCTCTCTTCCATCAGACTAGGAAGTGCTTAAGGACAGAAAAAATGACTATCTTTGCTGTATCCCCAGTACCAACATAGTGCCTGGCACTTAGCAGGCCCTAATTATATATTTACAGAATAAAGTATGAATTTGTCTTGTGTGGGAATGCCAGACTACATCTCTTTAAAAATCTAAAGTCAAAAAAAAACCTATAGTCAAAGTTTATGGTAAAAAAAAAGATACAAGAATATTTCTCTGTTAAAAATACATATGCTATTTTATTATGCAAACTATTTAAGTTTCAAAAGGAAATATAGCCCAAATGCACAGTTACCTCAATTTCGTTTTGGAAATAAGAAATGCATATAATTATAATTTTTTAAATTGTATGTGTTACTTTTAAGAGAGAGATAAAGGAGAATGACAATTCTGGCCTAAAAATTATGAGTATCACACCAAAATATTCTAAACTCATTTCAAAAATGTTCTAAAGTTACATATAAAAACTAATTTTAAAAATGTTTTCTTTTAGTTAAATTCAATAAAAACCATCTTTCCAAAGGCTCAATAAATTAAACACTCTATCTTAGCAAACCAATTTATGTTTGTGGGTACTACCTACATTATTACACTTTATATCAAGTTCTTTAAAATAGGCCCCTGAAAGGAAAGTAAATCAGTGATTTTAAGATCAATGGACAGAGTCAGAGCCTGTCTGCATCTTCTTGTTCTACCACACATATTAATGAAACTCAAATTATAATAGTAAATGTTATTTTAACAGAAGAGCTGACTTATTAACCACTCCTGTCAGAGTACCATATATAGACCCCCATAGCCACACAACATGGAGAGCCAAAAGGCTTGCCTACATGCAACAGAGGGAAAGTATCATTACAGCTCTCAACACTGAAGACTTGTTTCAAGCCATCTCCTAAAAAAAAAATAATAATAATAATAAAAAGACTTGGTAAAAGCTTTATTATCTGAAGATAAAAACACGGCTTAAAATTCACTAAAGTGCTCAATCTTGTGCTCCATCAGTATTTTATTCTTCTGTAACCACAAATTTTAGAAGCAAAATACTAACAATGAACCAATGGACAACTTCCAAATATGCTGCAAGTATCTGCTTAATTTTAAGTTAACAAGTTGTTTTTCACAGAACTGTATAGAAATAATTTTGAGAACTGTGACTGTATGTCTAATAAACACATTAGTTTTATATTTAAGTACAAACATTTCTACAATAGTTTTTAAAAACAGAAACAATCAGCCCTCTGTATCTGCAGGTTCCACATCTGCATATTCAACCAACTACAGGTTGAAAATATTTGAAAAAAAGTTACATGTACTATGCAGTTAAGCCTCTGAGGGTTGCTCTGTACTGAACATGTACAGCTTTTTTGTCTTGTCATTATTCCCTAAGCAATAGAGTGCAACAAGAATTTATATAGCATTTACATTATATTAGGCATTATACTAATCTAAAGATCATTCGAAGCATACAGAAGGATGAGAATTGGTTATATGTAACTACTACGCCATTTTTATAAGGCAATTGAATATCTGAGGACTTTGGGGGAGGGCGCTCTGAGGGATGACTGTAACTAGTTAGCAAACTGAAAGGACTTTAAGTTTTCTTGGATTTTAGCTGGAGATGTTTTCTATAGTGTTAAAATGGTCCCATCTAAGATATAGTACTTATTTGGTTCCTTGTTCTAAGTAACAAAAATTTACTTCACATATATTTTCTCTTTTGAGAATAAAGGAAAAGAACATTAAACCAAAACATAATGCTAAAATACAAAGGATTTAAAATTTTTTAAAGCAACTATATCTTTATTTGAAAATTTCCCTTGAATAACATCTTGAACACTTGAACATGACTTCTTGCATAAAAGTAACACAAGTGAAAAGATAATGACATAAAGTCTCATGTTAAATGAGTGTTAAATCTCACTTTTATTTAGAAATAGTCTCTTGTGTAGAAACAATAAATTATAAACATCTTATAAAACGTTCTCCAGTTTTTGGTTTCCAATTTGTGTAGAATGGATAATTTTGAAAAAGAAAAAGTAGAATGAGTCATGTAAATAAATTCAACATTGGTGTCAAAAATATTCTATTTGGCCAAACCCAGTGTTAGTATCTTTCAGTCATCAAGCCGAAAGTATAAACTTCACTTCTTTTTTAAGTCATTTCTCATGTGTAGAGGTTAAAATATGCATTCTATAATAGTAAAGAGTCTGATCTCTTTGTAGAGATTTTACTACAAAGAACAATGATCTAGATATATATTTATGCTTCATAACTGAAATGAAGGAAGAATATGATAGAAAAAGAATAATTTTGGAATAAATAGGATAGCCATTAGCTTTTCTCACCCTGAACTAAATTGTTAAAAAATTACTCAAATCAATAGTAAAATTATAAAAAAAAATAGGTTTTTAGAGTATTTCAAGTAAACAAATCCATAATTTCTAGTAAAAAGGAAAACCCATTAAAACACTTCAATACACACTACACCCTCCAGTGGCAAGCATCCATGGAAAAATATAAAAAGATTTAGTTAAATTTTCCTCTCAGTTAAATCAATCCTATAACTAATGAAATGATGGCTCTAAAACCTCATAAAAGTTCACACTATTTTAATCACTATCTGAGTTAGAAGAAGCAAAGATTTTTTAAAAAATAATTTTGATCTTATAGAGGAGTAATATAAGAAACAAAATCATGATCTGCTTATTTTTCCTTAAAAAACAAAGTGCTATCAGATTCTTATTTCTTTAACTTATAAAGGAAAAAGAGTAAGAATACATCACATAAAGATGTATAAATAAAAGATGAAGTATCTTTTATATCATGAGCTGCAAAAGCAGCACTAATATTTTAAAGCAAAATCTAAAAATTATGGTTCCTTAGTGAGAACTGTGGCAGAAAAGCAGTATGTTCGTTAAGTTTTTCAGGAAAACAACTTACATTATCACCTGGTAATATTTAGTATTACTAGTCTCATGAGGTTATGCGGTCACTACACAGAAATATAAATACACTTAGAATAAAATTAAGAGGCTACCTAAAAGAGCCTTTATTCTATGTGGCTAATGTTTTAGCGCTTAAATGATAAAATAGAAGCAAAGATTAGATTAAAAATATTCCACAATGGTCTAAATATCATTTAAATTTTCTCTAATTTACAACAGAATAAAAGACATTTATAAATATAGAAATCATGTATGAAGATGTAAATTTTCCAAAATGCATCAAAGAATTTTTGAATACACAGACATAGACACACACACACACTCAGACCCTTGGAAAAACTAGTACAACTTAAGACTATTTGAGGTATTGAACTTATTAACTAGGACATGAGACTAACAATTAAAGGACAACAGTGACATCTAGCGAACATTTCAAATACATACCACACATATTTCGGATCGAAACATTTTATTTCTAGTGTTTCACGTATTTCAACCTGACTGAGCAATTATATGACGAATCTTAAGCTTTAAAGCAAAACAAGATGATTCTGTTCTCAAAAGGTTTCTCAATATTAGTGACTCAATCATGTGATAAATAGAAAATGTAGAGACAGGATCTGAATAGAAACACTAAGTCAAATGAGAGTGCAGGCCACAAAAAAACTGGAAGCCTTCCAAAAATGAAGGGTCTTCTCAGATCTCTCTAAACCAAGCAATTTTCAAAGATTTTAATGATTATTTGAGCTTATGATTTTGACAAGGAAAAATGCCAAAGGCCTGAACTTCACAGGTATACAATTCAAAATTATTGAAAATATCTCTCAAAAGTAAATATTTTGAACTTATAAAATTCAGGTCACAAAAGCACTGTCTTAATAGCTTCGAAAAGTTATACAAAGGATAAATAAACTGTGGTATATTCAAACAGTGGACTACATCTCGGGAATAAAAAATGAAATAATAATACATGTAATAACACGGATTAATCTCAAAAAACAGGTTGAGTCAAAGAAGCCTTACACAAAAGTTACACCCTGTATGATTCCACTTATATGACATTCCAGAACAGGCAAAACTGATTTATGGAATGAATACACATATACATACATACACAAAATCAGAAAAATAGTTACCTCCGAGAGTAGGATGAAGATGGAGATTGACTAGGAAAGGATATGACGAAATTTTCTGGGGTAATGGAAATGTTCTGTGTCTTAACAGGAATTGGAGTTACACAGGTATGTGCATTTGTCAAAAAGCACCAAACAATAGACTTAAGATCTGTGCAAAATTTATATAAATTTTACCTTAAAAAATGAACCTTAAGCAAATACTAATAATTCCAGTTATATATCATGCTGAAGTATTTGGGGTTGATATGTACAGATATCTGCAACTTACTTTGAAACACATATAAAAATCAGATGGATTGACAAATTATAATAAAGCAAATACAGTAAAACATTAACAAATTGTAGAATCTAGAAGGTAAGTATACTGGGATTCACTATACAATACTTCACCTTTTCTGCATGTCTGAAAATTTCCATATTAAATATAAGAGAAAATAAAGACAATTAGAATTCAAAAGAAAATAAAAAATACTATAAAAAAATTAAAAATGTTTTCTTAAATACCAACAACTTTCGTTTGACACATTTACATTTTAATCTCTCTAATCTAATATTAAATGTGACTATCTTCTAAAGAGCCTGAGTTACAGGATAACATATACATTTAAACTTGAAAGACATACCCGAATTTCTTGAAGGTTGTGGAAATTATTTCCTACTCTGACTGAGATCTTGCTTGGAGTATAGCTTTCATCAGATTTGTAGTCTGCATAAATACATAATGTCTTCACAGTTGTTTTTCTTCTAAAAGCAATAAAGTAAAAACAACATGACCTTTATCATGTGGCGAGATTATATCTAAAATATCTTCTGATTTTAAAACTCATAGTTTGCTAAAATGAGTATTTAAATCAACAATTTCCATGTCTTTTACTTTTAACGATGAAAACGAAGAACATGTAAAAATACAGATACACATTTTACTTATATCGACATCTCTTATCTAGACATGGTCACGAACCAGATGTGAGCAAAGAAGGAACAATTAAGCCGAATTAGGCACCTTAGAGTACAAACAAGCACTAAGAATTTCAGTCCTCTTCATTTGTATTTTAGACAAAGAAATTATTCTAACAAGCTTGGTTTTTTTTACTAATTACTTAAGTTCCTATGTTAATACTTGAAAATAATTAGCTAAGTGAAAAATTAAGCCCAGTAAAGAAAAAAGCAATTTTTTTAAAAACAAAGTATAACTTCTTCCTTAATACAAGAAATAAAACTCTGCTATTTTTTAAATATACATATTTAAAAAGATAAACAAAGACTATATAACAGAAAATTAATCTCAGAAAAAAATGCAAGTGACTAAAAACATGAAAATATGTTCAATATCTAATAATCAAAGAAATAGAATTTAAAACACATAGACATTAGCTTTGTTATATTGTAAAATATTTAAATGAATGATAATACTCAAATTGATTAGAAAAGGGTACTTTCATAGCCACTTAGTCAGTATACAACCTCTGACCCACAATTTCAACTTCTAAGAATGCATTAAGACAATACTACTACTACTACTTAAAAACGAATACAGAAAAATGTTTATTGTCCTGAGGTTAAATTATTGAAAAGTTACAAACAACTAAATATATATCTCAGCAGAAAATTAGTAAAATACATTATATTATATCCATTCAATGAAATACTATACAACTATTTAAAATAATCATACAGATATATAGAGTAGGAAAAAAGCAGATTACAACACAGTATATGCAGAAGGATCACGTTTTGGGGCAAACAAAATATTTTAAAGGCCTATAAAACTGTGTGTGTGTGTGTGTTGTGTGTGTGTGTGTGTGTGTGTGTGTGTGTGTGTTGTGTGTGTAGAGGGAAGGAGGAGAGAGGGGGAGGGAGAGAGGGAGAGAGAGAGAGAGAGAGAGATCTAGACAGACTCATACAAAAACAGCAAAAATTACTATTTTGGTAGGGTAGAACTATAGGAGATATTTATTTTCTTCACGATTTCTATATTTTCTGTATAATTTTTTACAATAAGCATGTGTTCTTTTGGTCATTAGAAAAAAATAGACAATTTTAAACATCAACCAGAAAAACATTAAGAAGTCTATTTAAATGTGCTTTAACAGTTCAGTTCTGGTATAAGCTGGCACTAACTTAATGACAATGAGTTCCTTGAACAGAAGTAGTCTGTGTCAAAAGTCAACCTATAAAAACAGCAGGGGATCTGTAGCTCTTAGTGAGGGAACCAAACTTCTGCAGCCCAAGCCATTAATCAAAAGGAATGGGGAAAGTTAAGGACTTTCCCTCAAATAATAAAGACAGATGAAGATGTAAAACGCTAAATACTCAGAAACTGCTGACAGGATAAATACCACTACCAGGTTTTCAAAAGAGGTCAGAGGTATCAAACTGACATCTTTCTGTTTCTGCTGGGCCAGGAAGGAGACATGAGAGGAAGCAGAGGAAGAAGGGGAAATTTTGAAGGGCATGCCAAAGATTTTTTTCCCTGATGAGCCATAAGCAGGCAGTGAAAGGTCTTTCTTATTAGAGAGATCAAAGATCACAAAGAGGACTTTTTTTTTTTTAACAAAAGCAGATCTAAAGGCCAAGTTCTTTGCTCAGAATAATTTTATCTATGAGTTATGAAATTCAGGATAACTTAGTCACTGGAAACTACAAGATAATCAGGGTGAAGTTAGAAAGACAAAGAATAATAACACTATCATTTAAAAAAAGAGAAAACGGCAGTAGCAGCAAATAGCAAGTGAATACTTTGTGTCTGGCCCAGGAGTAATGTTTTACATGTATTATCTCATTTACTCCTCAACCTTGTGACATAGGAGCTATTATCACCTTCATTTTATTGATAAAAAATATATATAACACTCAGGTTTATAACTGGCTTAAGGTCTAAAGGCTAGTAGTAGGTGGGCACTGTTGGAGTTCGAATGCATGTCTGTCCGCCTGACATGATCTTAACCACGATTACCTTCCTACTAATTGTACTTAGCTTACTCAACAGTCATTGACAGCAGTTTACAGTAATATGAAGGTGTTTGCAGTTCTTTAAATTTTATCTACACAATGAGATTTTATCCTAAGGTCCCTGTATCCCAAGAAATCACATGTATAATTTATGCTATATACACAGCCTCACTAAATTGGCAAAGAAAACTGTGACCTCACCAAAGGTTTAAAACTATTAGTCTAAAAGGTACCCATAAAGCCTTTTAAAATTATTTTTAAATTTTATCTCATAGTAAAATAGTATTGCATAGAAAATTGGGCTCTTTGTCAAACATGGGAAGATTAAAATAAAAGCGGCTTATGAAACACAGTGTCATCTACTCAAATTGCTCAAATCATCATTACAATAATAAACTGAATTCTTACTATATGCCAGACATCCTGCTAAACTCTTAAGACAAGGTATTGTAGGAAGGAGAAGAGAAAGGGTAATACTTCCCCATTTCTGACAGCATAAGTAACACTCCCCGCCTCTTTCTATTCCTTTGCCCTCTGCTCTCCTTTTGCTGAGAAAGAGTTGCTGACAGGAAGCAAACATTTACTTCGATCCTTCTTGCCACAAATTTAAAAGGGGCAGGCTCTACCTGGTCCAGTGCTTTCGTAACTGGATGGGTAAGTTGGTTTCATTCTAGGGTTCAAAATTAAGAAACACGCTTGACTGTAGATATAAGCCCTCTTCTCAAACATTGGTTTTGTCAGTTTTACAGTTATATTTTGGTCTCCACCTGCTGACTCTTGAATAAATTGTCAATTGATTTGGAATTGATTTGGAAGACATTAGTGACAGCTACTCTTAGCCAACCTAACAGTCCCCTCTCTCTTCTTTCTTCATAACATCCAGCAAGCCTACATTCCCCAGCTTCCTTTAAAGCTAGGTATGACCATGTGACTAAGTTATGACCAGTAAGATTTAAACCGAATAACTGTGTGTTATAAAAAAGTTTCTTTAAAAGGAAGACATGTCCCTTTTGCCTTTCCCACCTACTCCTTCCTGCTGCCTGGGAAACAGACATGATGAGTGAAATTCCAATAGGCATCTTGGATCATGATGTAATCTTATGGATAGAATCCATGAGCTAAGAATAGTGGACTGGAAAGCGAAGTAATCTGGGTCCGCAACATACTGTGGGGCTGCCATACCACTCCTGCACTGCCGGGATCCTCTTGTATGAAGAGGTAGATGAAATAAATTTCCACCTTGTTTAAAACACTGCTGTTAGAAGTTCTGTTACTAGAAGTTCTTATTATCATTTAATATAACATTGTTATGCCCACATTACAGATGAGAAAACTGAGGTTCAGATCAGGCTAAGCAACTAGTCCTCATTTATACACCTAGTAAATCATAGTCCCAGAATTTGAATCCAGGTCTGTATGACTACACTATATAAGAGCAACTACAAACTCGTGAGAAAGAAGACTTAAAATTAAAACAAAATAGTTATAAAATTTTGTTTATCATTTCCTGTTAACATGCTAGATATATTAACAAAAAACTGAGACATAAAATAAACAAAGAATCCCCATACTTTCCTAAAATGAAAAGCAAACAAATGAGATATATACATACACATATATGTATGTATAAAAATTACATATAAGTCTACAGCCATGAGACCCTGCATGTGTCCGATCGCATCTAACCTTGGTAGCTAAGCAGGGTCGGGCCTGGTTAGTACTTCGTTGGGAGACCACCTAGGAATACCAGGTGTTGTAGGCGTTAAAAAAAAAAAATACATATATGTACACACATACACACACATATATAGATATAAATGATTACATTTCTTCTTTGTTCCTAGTACAGGTGGAAAATGCCCTCTTTGGGTAAAAGTTTGTTTCTAATCAATGTTAACAGGATGCTAAAGGGAAAGTTTACACTGAAGATTAAGACAACAAAGACCATGTTTTAATAGGACATATAAGCCTTTAATGCAAAAATTGCAGCAGATATGGTTAAAAAGAAAACCAAAACAAACAAGCAAAAAGTCAGGGATGTCTCCCCATTCAGGAGTAACTGTTACAGAACTTGCCCTCCCACTATGAACTAGAATAAACAGACAACATATATGAAAAACTGTCTGCAGACGTTGAACAGGCAGCATAGGACGGAGTCCCGAGAGAATGGAAACAGAGCAGGTGAGCCCCATGAAGAACCTAACGGAATCTTGCCGACTCACAGAGTTGAGGAAGGAGCTACACTGAGAAGAAAATCCAGAAACGTGCGAGGAGTCCCCTTGAGTCTTTGAATGAATACCAATCTGCACATGCATAGGATGACACTGGACGAAGACATGCAAAAATCAGCAACTGCTGGGGAAAGAACAATTACTGGGAAGCAGTAAGCCAAAACATTCCCAGAGGTCACACAGGGCAGGGAATCAACAACCAAAGTGGAGATTCCAAGTATCTCTTCAAATATCTAGGACATTCATTTGAGATCCCAAAAGATCAAGCCTTAGCAAACAGAGAGGCTAACCTTGCCCTAGAGAAGTGACCTTAAAAGAGTGGTCTGGGAACCTGGGGGTACTTCAAGACTCTTGCAGGGGACCACATGGTCACAACTATTTTCATAATAATACTAAGATGTTATTTGCCTTTTTCAGAATCATTCTCTTATGAATGAATATACAGTGGAATTTTCCAAATGCTATCTGACATGGGATGTTGTAAAAGATTTAATGAAAAAGCATATATGAGACTCCAGCTGTCTTCTCTTAAGCAAAACACCAAAGACACACACACACACA